ATTTCATTTTTAGAACAATACAAGTTTTAAAATTGCTTTACCTATTCTTAATCATTCTGTCATAGAATAAATAAAAACTAGATACTACTAGTGTTTTTTTACAGAACAAAATATGTGCTGTGTTTACTAGAACCTTGGTTGAATGTATATACAAACATGAAGTTACGAATGAATTAGTTAGGTCAAAATTCCTTATACTCTGTGAAACCAAATATTTAAAGAAGCTAGCCATTTTAAGATTGAAAGGCATTTCTGCAATCCTGGGTGTCCTTTTTGGTTGTTAATTGTGCCACGCAATAAACAATGCTCTTTTGCATCTGAAAATTGTACTAATAGTCTTTACATCAACTCTGTAATTGGCATGCAGTTACGCTAAGACATGACATACATTTATATCCAAAACACAACGATAGCAATAATGTATCTGGACATTATGTGAATAAACTGTACAGTTTTGAAACCTTTTAACTGCATGCAATCTTTTGTTAATCTATAAACGTTTGATATCAGTAGTTTTAATTTATTAAAACGACAGTTAAAACATCCATCATCAGTTCAGTAGATTGTGCTTCGGTACAGACATTATATATTATGTACTTTCACTATTTTATTTTCCCTTGATATAATGAGATACAATTAAACAAAAATTAACTCCTTAAACAAAGCTTACATCAGAAGGATTTGGTTATTTATTTTTGGTACTTTTTGGTCACATGGCTCTTTACCATGTTCACGTTTAAGTGTAGTTAAACCTTTTTTTCGTCCATTGTCTGATGAGGTATAATCATTCTTGATTAAGTTTATTCAAGAAAAGATTATGGCAGCAAATTCATTATATTTGTTATAATGCACAACTGATATAGTTACATTAAATGATGAGTATTTGACGGACAATAACGAGAAATTTTTTGTTTATCGTCACCTATTACTTAAATCCGTTAATTTGACAGCAATAAACCAAACTACCAATTTGAAATAACTTGGAATTGTGTAAGATCAATATATTAAAAAGTTAAATGTGGCTAAACATGAAAATTTAAATTGAATTGATACAATTTGTTTAATGAAACTATCTGAATTTAGTCTGAACTGAAAATTCTAGCTTGTGTCACCTATTAATTGAATCCTTTTATTTGCCAGCAATGAACCAAACTACAAAATAACCTGGAATTTCAAAGATAAATATACATGCTAATAAAAATAGATGTGCTGATTTAGAATAAATTAAAAAGTCAAGACTGGTCAATAATGAATCGAGACTGGTCGAGACTAGTCAAAACTAGTCCAGACGGGTCGAGACATGGTTGAGACTGGTCGAGCTCATATTCAGACTATACCAAGATTATCAAAAAATCAATCAGTAAAGTGGAGTGCAAAGTCGAGTACAGTTAAGTAATGTCTAGATTATGTCCAGTCTTGTCAAATAAAACCTGTGCTCGACCTTACTGGTCGAGAACAAAATATGGTCTTTAAGACTCTGCGGAGTTCGTAATGTCTGTATTTTAAACAGTATTTCAGTTATATCACATGGTCAGATATACCTAATTATGGAACATAGATTGATAAAGTTCACATTATCAAACATCTTTTTTCTGATAACGGAGACACATTATTTAGAAAATAAAAAAAAATATCGGGTTATACTGATAAAGACATAATATTTTTTGAGACGATTTTCGTTATAAAATGCCAGATCAATGCTCGCTTCAAATGCAAACAGAAAATACGTAGATCACACTGCTCATTTAACTATTCTCAACATGAACTTCTAGATTGCAAAGTTAGCTACTAAAAGTTAAGAAGGGAAGTTTTGTACTGTCTAATATAACTTTGGTAATCATTATTAGTCTAATGACTTTCATTTTATATCCTATCTGCAAAAGTAATAAGTCTTGAAATTTTATTGTCTAGTGTGTGTTTGTTAAATGAATGTCATAAAATGACACAGAAAAAATAACACTTTATCAGGAGTATATTATCGTATTATGATCGTCAAATACACACCATGATGGCATTTTTACTTTTTTTACTTCTGATGTCAATATTACGATACTAACCTTATTATTGTACCAAAAAGAGATATATTTACATTTGTATCATATTTGTATCTTCTATTTTATTGCAGTATGACTTCTTTTATTTTTCTCGTTTTTCTTTCTTTTGCGACAAAAGTTTACGGAAGTCCAACTAAACAAAATGAGCACGTTTAAATAACACAAGTCATATGAATTATCAAGACCACATAATTAGAAAATCATTTATAATTATATAAACGTATGACAAATAGTGAATGTTTTCCCAAGATTGCTTACCACGAACGTTTGAACAATTATTCCCGTCACAAAGAATGCACATTGGCCACTTATGAATCAGTTTGTGGAATGAACGAAAGTAATAAATACATTTACATTAGCGATAAAAGCTACGCACATTTATCAAATGGGCAGTCACTGGCGGATTGACAAAATGTTTTTCCTAGAGATTGGACTCAATGTCGAACATAAAAGGTTACAGGAATAATATTTAGTGGCATTAGATGGAAATCAAAACAATCCACTGATGATACCTCAGGTTTCAGGTTCGTTGTCACAATTCTAACAATAAGACCGTTTGTCTTTGGCAATGTTGTAAGTATAAATACATAAAAACGTAATATAAAAAGAATCCAGATGTTAAATCCGATGACTTGTGACGGAATGTGAAGCTATTTGCATGCAAAAATGTAATATATCTCTACGTGGTACGCAGGTTTTTCTATTTCTGATGACTCGTGGCAGTTTTAATTTCAATTTTATGCCTGCCATAATACTGTATATAACTTAACTATTTTATGATAATGTGTTGTCGTCCGACAAATGCGAGGACATATGCGCACACCATGTGCTGAAAATTAAAATGTCTGAATTTGCTACCTGCCAGAATCATAGAATTATTCTCATTGATAAAACTAACATACTGTCGTGTTGAAAGTTTCTACCGATAATAAGACAGAACATTTGATTTTTCAATCATAATTGTTTGTATATTATTGTAATAGTTAGCATGATTTGTTGATTATAAAGCAAAAATATGCAATAATAAGCAATTTGTAACCCGTACAAAGATGTACGTTTTAGTACTCGAACGATGATTTGAGCTCGACATTATGTTTATCTTGACTGTTGCTTACCTAACAGATTGATTGCTATTGTCTTCCTTTTCAGTGGCGAAAAGTTTCTGTAAATTCACGACGAGAACAAATTTACAATAAATAAAATAAATAAGTTCTAATAATAAGGGTAAAATACTGTAAATTTCGGCTGTCAATGTAAAACGGTGTAAGATGGAAAGGGACGACTTTATGCATTGTAATGGACCACCAACTAATTTGAGAGTGTTTTCCAGGATAAAGTTTCATGTACATAGAAAGTTGCTCTCTCCTATCTGAATGCTTTGGAGTTACGTCCTGATTCCGACCAAACATGCAAAAGTAAAATCACAAAAATACTGAACTCCGAGGAAAATTCAAAAAGGAAAGTCCCCAATCAAATGAACGCCGCTACTTAACTTTGGTTTTGCGAGTACAAGGAACGACAATATGTCTATGTCCTAGAAAACCATCGTCTTGGTCATTGCTTTGATTCACAAAGACACCTTAATTTCCTTTGTAATGAAAATACTTCTAATATTCTTACCCTCCCGTTTTTGTTTCTCTGATAACAAATCAGCTTCTACCTGTTGTTTTTGTATTTCAATTTCCTCTTTATCTTTCACTAATTTTTCAATTTGTTTTGTTGCATTCTCACTCTCATTTAAAGACAGCTGCTTTTGATCTATACTTTTATCTGAGTTATTTTCTGATTTCTGTTTTTCTTCCAGTAACTTTTTTATTTCTTCTGTTAATTTTTTCAACTCAATATCTGTCTTCTGTTTGTCTTTTTCTTGTTGTTGATTGAGTAGGATATTTTGTTTCATACCTTCAAAAGACGAAAAAATACATGTCCATGCTAAGATGTTTAAGGTGGTATGGGAGTCTAAATTAAAAATGATAGAATTTGTTCATACTTTGCCAAAACGTAGTATATACTGATTTATGTTAAAAAATATAATAAAAATTATAGGTCACCGCGCATTTTCTCAGGCTACAGATTAGGACAAAATGACAAAATTTGTATGGGTTATACAGGAAAAAACATCATTATGTGATTAGAAGCTAAACTAAATTACAGAATTGCAAAATAAAATACGAGAAGATAGCTTTTAGAAAATGCTATAACAATATCAAAAGAAAAGATAGAGTCACCGTGCGTTTTTTCTGGCTAAAATACAAAATAGCAAAATTCAATGTAGATTCCTTCAAAAAATGCACTATTTTAGAGTTACCTCCCCTTAAAGTACTAATTTGAAAACCTTTAAAAAAGGCAAATATTATCTACACTTATAAAAATATTAATATTTATAAGTTATAATCTTATAAATTTGTCCTTTTAAATGCAAATTCACATTAGTTATCTGCATTCCTGCATCAAATTTTGCTAACTTGATTGAAAATCTGGACCTTAGATTCTCTGTTTTTTTACAATCCAAGAATGCGAAAGACACACATACCACCTTAAGTTTAATTTGACGTTTGCCTGCAATCATATATCATGGAATATATCTTACACTAAATAAACAATAATACATTTTTCTAAATCTACATATTAAAAATACGGTGTGTAGAACATAACCTTAAACTGAGATGCAAAGGTAGTCGCTCAATTTTATAACAACATGCAGAAACACAAGTGTTTTATTTAAAGTTTAACAATTAAGTTAACACAATTTTGTGAGAAGTTATTAACTGATATATTTTTTCTCTCACTTTAGTGAGATATGAATGTATGCGCAGCCGTGAACGATTCGCACTTGATATAAACAAGTTTCAGTTTTCGTCCATAATCGGTAAACATATCTCGAGTTGATGTTTTAAATTGTACATGTATTAGTGAAAGTAAATGTTACTAAAGGATCACACTTCGTCAAACTGCAAATACAGACAGATATTACACTAACAAAATGTTGTGTGTTAAGATAAGTAACTATATAGTTATGGTATAGTCAATATCAAGAATACAACCTAAAGTAATTGTTTGCGGTATACATAGACGTTGTTTATGTTCATGAAAACAAAAATTTTTTTGAAGACACACACTGTTTAAAGTAAGAAATACACCAAAACCATGTTCCTATTGACAACATAAATGTTGACTTTTATAGAATCGATATAATAACAGACAGTAGTTGTTTCAATGTCTTCTAATTGCGCATCCCTACATTTTATATAAACATGATAAATATGAAGTTGTACGTTTACAAGACCATATTAAGGCAAAAGGAAAAATGGTATTGCTAATATTTTCACTTTCTTTTTTGTATATATATTGATGCTGATGAGGATGTCCTGTCACCAAATAACCTACATTTACGTTTTACTTGGCTTTCGTGATGATTTTGAAAGAACCTTAATGATGGTGAAAGTCAAGATACTACCATAACTACAATTTCTGCTTCATAATTGGTTATTTTGCTTGATACAAAAGCAACGAAAACATTCTGCAAATCAGACACCACAAAATATTTTCCACAGCAACGTTAACGACTGCATACAAATGTTGAAATCAGATTGAAATAATTTTGTAAACATGTCTACTTAATTTCAAGTTTGGGACTTTCGAGAGTAAAGACAACCTCGGTTTTTTGCTTAATTGAGTAGCCCCAATTAGTTAACGAAGTACATGTTAGAATCCATCCTGATGGTAATAATAGTAAATGATAAAGAAAACGCATAAACGATACCATTTGCATTTAATAGAAATTTACCAATACTAAACCTTAACCAAATTGTTCATTTAGTAATTGTTCTTATTACCTGTTTTTGCAAGCTTTTGTTGTTCAATTATTTCGTCTTTTTGAATTTGAAGGTCCAGTTTTTCTTTTTCTAATTGTTTGATTTTCATATTAGCCAGTTCTCCGTCATTTTCTGCCTTTTTCTTTTCTATGTCTGCTTTTCTTGCGCAATCTTCTGCATTCCGTTTTTCCTTTACAGCTAATTGTTCACTTTCACTTAATTCCTTCAAGAATATTGCATGCTGTTTCCTTTCGGTGTCAAGCTCTCTTTGAAGTTTTGATGTTATATTAAACTCTTTAAAAAATAAAACAAAAAACAATAATTTCATTGTTTTCTTTGAAAATGTTATGTTATTGCAAACAATGATGATTGTTTTCTATACGATTACTGAAGATAAAACCTGTAAATTGTGCATTCCAATTGTATATGGATGCATTTGAAATGTAGTGGATATTTTTTGTTATTCGGGTCTCATACAGGGTATAAACTCTGACATTATTTGCTTAGAGTTTATATCCCCTGAGCCGAGGGCGAAGGCGATATAAGCTTAACCGAGAGTTTCACAGTATAAACCCTGTCTTAGACCTTAATTACAAGTATATTACGGAGTATCCCTGTCTACATGTTTTTTTACCAGTGCAGGTATTTGTTAAACATTCAAAATGCAGCATGTATATTCAATACATGTTTATTGTTTCTTGATATTTTGAGTATGCACATTTTTTATCTTGACAATTTATTTTCCGTAAAGAAAATGTTTTTAATAAAGTTTTTAGATTTCCTGTTTTGTGTTCGTATATGTGTGTGCCTTTGTTTTTTTTATAACACATATATTGAAAAAACCCAACCTGATATGTGAAGGATTTTGTAATTTCCTGAGAAAATAATTTTATCGTGCATGTATATATTTAAGTCTGAATTGAAAACAACATTCAAACCTATGATTGCGTTGGATAAAAATAGAATTTTTTTATACGTGTGCATGCAAAACAAATTTCTTTGTATAGGGTTCTAAATACAGCACAAACAACATTTTCCAAAAGACCAAAAAAGTGAAAAAGTATATTTTAACAAACGTATTAGACTAACAGGTCGAACAATAAATGTTCTTAAACCCTTCCGACTGCAATCGGCGATTGCCAAATAAACGGATCACAAGATTTATAAAAATGGATCTTAATTATAAATTTAATACCAACAGAAAACAATAAACTTGCGGAAAAGATGGTATACCGCAAAACAAGAGGTGCAAACATGTTTGTTCATCGTAACCGGATATCGACAATTAATGTCTCTTCAGTGATGTTAGGAATCGATATAGTATTTGGAAAGGCATATAATTCACCTCAATTTAGGATAGACTTGGATTTTGAAGGGTCGAAATAGAATAAACGGATCATATTAATCCGAAGGCAAATATAATTCAAGCCCAAACGAAAACAAATAAACAAGTCTAAATTGAAAACAACGTTTAAACCTATGATTGTTTTGCATAAAAACCGCTATTTTTTAACGTGCATATATATGCATTTGAAGTATTTAAGCAGTGTTAATCATCGTTAAGCTTCGACATTACACTGATTTCACATTCAACAAACATATTTGTATAATAGATTTGGAACTCACACAGAAAAAAAATATTTACTGGAGTCAATAAAATAAACCAAACAATCTTTGTTTTACTTGAAAGTATTTTGAGATAAATCGTCTGTTAAATTGAATGGGAAATGAGACTTTTGTGATTGCTGAAAGGCGGATATCTCTGATTTTTATCTTCTAGACTTGATGATTTTTTTTAATTATCATTGTAATATACTGACAGACCTAAAAAAACGCAATACACAATTTTGTGATTTGTTTAACCAAATCATGATTGAAACTCATATCATGGAATTTGATAAGACTGTCGTACAAGTGAGAGGTTTAGCGCTATAAAACCAGGTTCAATCCACCATTTTCTACATTTGAAAATGCCTGTACCAAGTCAGGAATATGACAGTTGTTGTCCATTCGTTTGATGTGTTTTGTCATTTGATTTTGCCATGTGATTAGGGACTTTCCGATTGAATTTTCCTCGGAGTTCAGTATTTTTGTGATTTTACTTTTCACTACTATTCATGGTTACCATACTCCGTAATGTTTCGAAAAATTGACTAACCCGAGGTTATATGTATTGAACATACCGGATTATTGAAATATTTTTTTATATATATATATTACCTATAAATCTTGATCAATGTTGTCAACTGAAAAATGCTACCGATCATTGCAAAAACACAGCTACTTTAAAGGTTGGTATCAGTCAATAAAATAGTATTTTTTGTTTAGAGTAAACAGATTTTGTACACGTACATTTCTGTTACAGATAACGAAGAACCCTCTCGGGCACTAAGTTAAGGAAAAGTTTGTAGCCGCACAAACATGTTTACCCTGATACATTATTTATGCATTATTAATGCATCAGTCCCAAATCAGGTGCCTGTAATTTAGTGTTTGCCATTTGTTGCAATTGGTGATATTTGCTTTTCGTGTATTTCGTGTATTAGCGCTATCATATGCTGTTGCAGCACTGTACCAATTTTGGGGAGGTTTACACAATCAATAACATGTATAAACCCGCCACATTCTGTGTGTGCTTTTCCAAGTCTTGAACCCTGTTATTTTATAGTTGTCGTTGATTGCTCTTTATCATATATGTTTTGTACAAAAATCAGGTCATTAGTTTTCTCATTTGATATGTTCATGTTTGTGTTTTGTGCGGTATGAGTTGTGATTATTGTTGAAAGCCGTATGATGACTTTTAGTTGATGCATGTAACTATTACGTCATTAGATTTCTGGTGGAGAGTGTCTAATTATAAGTTAAACCACATCGTTTTATTGTTACAATACTTGTGTTATTCCTATTGTGTTTTTATGTATTACATTATATAAATAAGAAAAAGTGGTATGCTTTTCATAAAGACAACTATCCACCAGAGAGCAAATGACGTAAAATCAAGAATATGTTACGTGCTACTTTTAAGATAGATCCTGAAGTAATAGTTTTTTTACTATTTAATTTCCCGACCAAAATCGTCGAAATATTTTCCTCCATAAAAAGTCCGCTTGGCAACATTTTACCCTGATGAATCTCATGTTATTTTCTTCAATATAGCAATACAGTTAAAAGGCATAATAGGATGTCTTAATATGATCATTTAAAGGACAATCAATGCGAAATAACAATGATTGTTTTTTTTTCATTCTTAACGATTACTAGTATTATGGAATTTGACGAAAGACTATTCATCATAATATGATATTACTTTGATCATTGTTTGATTTAAAAACAGTGTAAATTTATAAATCTCTGAGCTAACCACACCCACTCTATTATTCGTTTCAGCATAAAACAAATTCTGCTGTTGTCATATTAGATTTCACTTACTTTCTATTATCTTGTTAATTTTCTTATCTTGTGTTTCCTTTTCAATGCTATTTTTTTCATGAGCATCCATCAATTTGTAAAAGTTGTCGGAAAGATTCTGTATAGTTTTCTCCTTTTTCTTCAGTTCTTTACTATAAGTAGCCATCCTGTACTTAAGACTATCGATGTGTACATTTTTAGAAATGATTTCTCTGTTCATGGCAATAATTTTTTCCTCTGCTTGGCGTATTTTATCGCAATTCAACTCAGATTCAATTTTCAATTTCTCCACTTGTCTTTGTAGATCTTCTTTTTCGAACTCGAACAGTTTAACAATAACCTTTTCGTTTTCTAATTCTTCCTCACATTCTCTGTTACGCTGTTCAAGCTCAGAGTACGTCAAGGATGCTTGACGTTGCTAGAAATTGGAGAAAGAAAACATATGAAAATGAAACATTTGTTGAGTGTACTTTCCAACTTGGAAAAACAGCTACGTTCTGTGTTTTAAAATACAGTGGAGATCACTTCTAACCTCTCATCAAATCTGTCAGAATCTGTCAGGAGAACTGTTCAAGGACAGTATGTAGAACTGTCATCCTGACGCCTGATTTAGTCAGTTCTGCTAACAGTTCTACGGTTAGAACTGATTTGGTCAGTTCTGCTGACAGTTCTACAACTTAAACTGATTTAGACAGTTCTACCTAGAACAGTTTTAGACAGTTCTACCCTAGAACAGTACTGATCCTGACAGTTCTACCTAAAACTGATTTGGTCAGTTCTACCTAGAACTGATTCTGACAGTTCTATTTAGAACAGTTCTAAGGTAGAACTGTTCTAGGGTAGAACTGTTCTATGTAGAATGGTTCTAGGACAGTTTAGAACAGTTCTATGACAGATTATTCTAACAGTTCTAATGAGAGGTGAGAAGTGATCTCCACTGTATCTGATTGTCTGATTGAGTCCAGTGTATCATTTGCAATCGATTCCCGGTACATATGACTAACCCCTTGTGTCTTATCAAACTTTTTTGTTTCCTTTCATTCGACGAGACCATTCAATGTAAAGCGTTCTTACAGTATCATTATAAGATGAATAATTAAAAATAAAATGAAATCTGATATGTGTAATATAATAGTTTGTTATTTCGTTCTTACTTACTTCCAAACAACTGCAATTAAATTAGAAATGTGTTTGCTGCTATTTCATGTGGGCAAATCAAGGAAACAAATCCGAGTTGTCCGTATTAATTAAAAATATTATCCGAGTTTTGTTTACTCATTTGAGTAACCTTAGCTAAAAAAATGCATCAATTTTTGAAATGTTATTCATTCTTTGTATAATCATCAACATCTTGATTCTGGTATACGTACAGGATGTATCGAACCAAGACAGTTATTTTTTGTTTGCCGTTTTGTTGCTGCCTTCAGAAATCCGTGAGTAATTCGTCTGTCATACAGTAGTTGACGGTGATTTATGTCGGGTATTAGAGTTTTGAAGACTGATTTTAGCTTTAATAACGCCGATACAGTTCTATTTAAAATTGTATCACAGTTTGATGTTTAGCTTGAGCTAGGATACTGTTTGAATAGGATGAATGTTATTAATCAAAACAAAGACCAATTTATTATTTGTTGAAAGTTGTCTAATTGGCTTAAGGGAATACGATACAGTAGCAGGGGCAGATAATAACGTTTTCAAAACTGTTCGTGTTGTTTTCGCGACGTTGTTAATCAGAACGTTGTAATTTCGCGAAGTTTCTAATAAGAACGATTACATTTCGCGACGTCGTTTTAAATGTAGTCACATTTGCGGAAAATCCAGTGACGTCACAAATCCGGTTGCGCGAATTTGAAAAAAAAGTACCTGCCAAGAAAATCGGCCATATCATGAAAATTGTTATATTCATTCATTAATATTGAGGTCAACAGTATTAACTTGAAATGTGAAAAAAAAAATTAAATCCACATTCATACTCTTGTATATGTTTTATTTCATATAGGAAATGAATAACAGATATGCAAATAATGATACGTCGATGAGACAGAAACCCAACTAAACAAAAAGACCAATAAGTAATTAAATGTAATTAAGATATCAACGTACTGTCTTGATCTATATATAATATCTACACCATTTGGAAAACTGTATGGAGAATTGTGCAAATAAATTTAACAGAGACTATCAACAAAATGACAAAATAACATGATAAATAAAGACAACGCCTCATACTGCACCTGACTTTGAATAAGTACATTAAAAAGTTTAACGGCATTTTTAGAATTTAACCCAGTGGAATACATATGTGTATGAAAAAGAACTGTCAGTTTAAAAGACACAGTTATAAGCCCCGTATTATAGACGGAATGACGGACGGACAGACGGACAGGTGTAAAACAAAACGCCACCCAACTTTCATTTACGGGGGTATAAAAATACCCTGAAGACAAATAAACTTAGGCAACTTATCTATTGATACAAAATCATGCAATTTCATGATCTAATACCGACTGCTGTACTTCCTATGAAATGTTAAACTACACCGTAATGGACTTTATTGAGACAATTACGACATGAATTTGCTCGAAACAGCTCTAAATATACACCTTTTTGAACATGTTCAGAGTAGTTCTAAGCTGACCCGAGTTAATTTGGGTATGGTTTTGTGTTCATATAATGCCTATATAGTAGGCCGATAGTTTTCTTGATTGAATTGTTCACATTTTCATGTCGGGGCTTTTTAAAACTGACTAAACAGTGAGGCTTTTTTTTTGGTGAAGGCCGTGCGGTGACCCTTGATTGCGTTTATCTTCGTAATTTGAAATATGGTTGATAGTTGTCTCATTGGCAATCATACCAACTGTCCTTATTTTTATATTATCCCACTTACTTGATAATTGTTTCATATTTTGTCTTGTTGGGACCTTTTGAATAATTAAAAATATGCCCAAGCTGTGTTGTCTGCATGAGTTGAAGGATTAATGTCGGACTGAGATGCAAATTATTTTTTATGCCAACGCCGTAGCGGAGGGGGCATTAAGTTTTACCCTTGTCCGCCTGTACGTACGTACGTACGTCCCAAAATTGGTTTCCGTTCTCTAACTTTAGTTTGCCTCAACCAAATGTTATGAAACTTATACACAACGCTTATTACCACAAAACACAGATCAAGTTTGAATTTTGGTGGCGTCACTTTTACCATTCTAGAGTTATGCCCCTTTACAAATGGAAAAATTGCTGAATTTTTCGTTTCCGTTCTCTTACTTTAGTTTGCCTCAACCAAATGTTATGAAACTTATACACAATGCTTATTACCACAAAACACAGATCAATAGATATAAGAAGATGTGGTATGAGTGCCAATGAGACAACTCTCCATCCAAGTCAAAATTTATAAAAGTAAACCATTATAGGTCACAGTACGGTCTTCAACACGGAGCCTTGGCTCACACCGAACAGTAAGCTATAAAGGGCCCCAAAAATTACTAGTGTTAAACCATTCAAACGGGAAAACCAACGGTCTAATCTATATAAAAAACGAGAAACGAGAAAAACTTATGAACCACATCAACAAACGACAACTACTGAACATCAGATTCCTGACTTAGGACAGGTGCAAACAAATGCAGCGGGTTTAAACGTTTTAATGGTACCAAACCTTCACCCCTTTTCCGAAACAATAGTGTAACATCACAACATAGAAAGACACACTATAAAATATCAACTGAAATAGCTTAACTCAATCAAAGGACATATTAACACCATTGAACATACACTGAACAAATAAATTTGACCTATGACACAATGTAAATACAAAATAAATAAACTAAGGGAAGAATAATAAAAGTAACATGTTATATCGGTAAGAAATGTTAAACAATTAAAGAAAAACAATATGCTCGAACAAAAATATCAGCTATTTGCACTAACTTTAAACACAGGTAAATGAAAATAATTTTGTTGTTAGGTATACGTGTATATAGTACCAATGGAGAAAGGAAATATTTTTACAAAATAAATAATTTTGATGTTCATAGTACGAAGTGAAAATTTATAGTTATACCAAACACTTATCAAAGCTGGTATATAGACCAGATATAACCCTGAATAACATTAAATAACAAAAAAGCAATAAAATTAGTATCAACAGGTCAAATAAACAAGAAAGTACGATTTGAGAGTACTCGCAGTTACTGACAGCTAGTTAAAAGCCAAAACAATTAATAATAAAAAATCATGCATCAGAGACTAAAACACATCCCAGGGATTTAGTATTTTAACGTCATGGACAGTCAAAGAAGACATGAAAAGTTTGAATTTTGGTGGGGTCACTTTTACCGTTCTAGAGTTATGCCCCTTAACAAATGGAAAAAATTCTGAAATATTTGTTTCTGTTCACTAATTTTAGTTTGCCTCAACCAAATGTTATGAAACTTATGCACAATGCTTATTACCGCAAAACTCAGATCAAGTACAAATTTTGGTAGCGTCACTTTTACAGTTCTTGAGTTATATCCCTTTATAACGTTATATGCAAGCGGGGGCATCATCTGTGTCCCATGGACACATTCCCCATTTATTTTTATTGTTATTATTATATTTTGATTATGAAATATTTATTTTTATCAAATTTATCTTTTGATGTTTCCGAACATTTCTTTTCTAAAAGTAATTTACTAGAATACTTTTTGTATCCAGCATGTCCAAGATTCGTAACAATTCATAAAGGTTTGGCAAATATTTTATGCTATTTTACGAGTAACCAGCTTTAAAAATTTTAATGAATAATATCATTGCTTTCGAAAAAAAAACTTGGCTATACCACTGAACTTGACAGCGTAATCATGAACGGCGGGAATGATTTTACGACGTTATTGCGATTAAAACTTATTTCAACGTAGTTTAGCGCTTTATTGGCAAACGTCCCGTTTGCAATTAAAAATCAAAGTTTATTGCTTTTATTGAAAAAACAAGCACATGGACCCCCAGTTTTTTCTTTTGCAATCAATCAAGTAATATTTAAAGAACACTCCGCCAAAATTTTAAGAAAAAATCAACGATCGATTTTTTTCTGCACTTCTGAATAGACGCAAAAATATTGTCAATTTCTTTATTTCACTAATAGTAAAGTAAATTCAGAAAACAACAATTTTGTTTAACCTTAAACTTGTTACAGCATGGTCATGCCATGGATCAAGGGAACATTTTACAAAAAACCCGGTTAAGTTATGACTGTTCGTTCAAAAGTATTGTAACTTTCTTTAAAAGTCCTTTTTTATGAAATTTCAGGGTTTTCCCTTCAAATATGCAAATTTCAAACCAAATTATCTCAAAAAGTAAGTCATGAAGGTATATTTTTCTTTGCATATTTCAAAAGTACACATCGAAATTGACCTTCTACCAAAATTTCAAGAA